TATTGTTTCTTGTGGATTTGTATATATCGGATGGGGACTGTGTTAGGGTGTATGTATTTTTGTATTTCGGTTTTTTTGTTTTGTGTATTTTCGATCGATTTTTGGGGAGGTCTAGAACGGTATGAACTTTGCCGAGTCGGGATCTCAACTGGCGCAGCGGTTTCCGAAAATGTTTTTCAAATCGCTTGCTGCACCGCTTTCAGTCCGCTCTGTATCTAGTTTCGCCGCCGCCAAGTGTAAAAATAAAATCACCGAGAGCGCAGAGCGAACTGCGGATCAGTGGAGATCGGAAAAGATCTCGCGGAGATCTCTTTTTCGGAGCGGCACGGACGGGCGGCTGAATTATTGCGGTAGACAATGTAAATATTGCCAATAATTAACGGCATTATTGAATTTGCAATGCAATTGGGTAATTTTCTCTACGATTTCGGCCAATTTGCATGCAATATTTCGTTCGCGCTTCCCGCTAAAAATAGTAAATGAAAAATCGAACGCAATTCAGGTGCCAAGAGGTGTGGGCGTATGGGGCGGTCCACCTGCCGCCGGCTAAAATGGGTGTGGCGTCCCCTGAAAATGTAACCCCCGCTCCTCCCCAAAACCCCCCTCGAAGTGCTTGTCAGAGTTTTGAAAAATTTTCAATTTTTCACCAAAAGAAATGTAGTGGGTTTTCTTGTTGTTGCTGGCGCTTGTGCACACGACACACACAAGAAGCGCACATTCAAACACTCTCGTAAATGGAAAATCTCGGAAAATTCTCTTTCTTCCCACACTGCACTACACACGACACGATCGCTACCCAGTGGAGCATAAATCGCCATTGGATGGAATCTAAAACGATGATCTGCGTCTGGCATTTTGATTATCGCACCCCTACGGTATGTTCGTATTTTCCAATAGATTTCCCTAATTGATCTCCAGCCCATACACTATCGTATTAGTATTAATATATATGGAATTTATTTTGGCATTCCGAAATTTCTTGATTTTCTGGCATTACAGCATTTGGCAAACAGACATCATTGAAATGCCAATGGGCGCAAAATGTTTACTGAATTGAAATGAACCAACAGGTGTGCCGGCAAATTAGAAAAATACTCGCAATTTAATGTAAGAAATTATTCCGATATTAAGCAAAACCATAAATAGAAATATTAAGAAGTTAATTTTGTTCTTTAGCATTTATTTGCTTGCTTTTATAATTTAACGTTAAATGGGTATATTTATGATATCAATTAGCAATGCATTAAAGCTTAAAAGCAATTATTACAAAAATAGTAAAAAAGTTTGTAAGCTAATTTAATTCTAAGCTATTTTAAAAATAAGCTGCTAAAGGAATAGACTTCTGACATTTGATGAATCCAGCAAATAAAATGTGTAGCTTTTAATGGATCACTTATTCACCATGACCTCATCTAGTCCTAAATCAATGTCATAGTTTTCGATGTGTTTAAAAAAATGTTTCACCCCAATTAATAACCAATGTTTATTCAAGAGCAGAACAAATTTCCATTAGACAAATTGACGCGATACCTGAGGGCGAATGACCAAGGTAAATTGGCGAGAACTAAACAAGTACAAATGACCAACGGGTCGTGAGAATGTTCTAGTGACAGTTTGTTAGTGGAAAGCAATTAACAAGGCCTCAAATGAACGCCGTTCTAGGTCGACAGTCTAACCTAAGCGGGGAATAAGAAATACATGTCAGATTAAAATGAACAATAAACAAAATCAACAACTCGTGAATGTTTTGGCCAAAGGGAACCAACCACAAAAAATATATGTTTATTGTTTAAGAATCAAAATGTTGATGTAAACTGATTCACTGCTGTGATGGGAATTTATGGCTTTAATAATGTTGTACCACTGACGTGGGTTGAGCAAAGATGATGGGGATTTGATGCAATTAAATATCCAGGCAGTATTGCCCATAACATTAACCGAAATTATAAAATAAAAGCTTTGATTTATAACAACGATAAAAACGTAAAAGTTTAATAGATCTTGTTTTTCTTAAACATTTTTTGTTTTCAAATTCCAGGGATTAATCTAAAGAAGTATTTCAAAATTATGACAAATCATCAAAAGTCTTACTTGTAAATTGCATAGTTTTTAAGCATATTCATATTTTTTGCCTTCATTTTCTTATTTGTTATTTTTAAGTTTTCTGTTTTAACTTTGGTCTTAAGCTATACATTTTTAAAGTCTTTAAAAATTTTATAACTATAAATATATAGAAATTCTGGAGTTTCTTTAAATGGAAATGTATTTCCGGCTCGTTTTCTGCACCCGAATTTCATTCAGCTGGCCATGCTCCTATCTATCATATACGGTGCATGATATATGTTCGTGCTTGAGTATATGCACATACTTATAGAATAATGCATCGCATGTGTATATTAGTTGTTGCTATTTTTGCCGCAGACACAAGCAACAACAACTGCAATGGAGCCGAGTGTAATGCAATCTGTGAGTTGGTCTAAAAATAAACTGCATTTTGCGAATCTTTGATAAAAAGTTTTTGCGTGATGTGACTGCCCGTCATCCTCCTTCCGCTCCTCATTACGATTATTTGGCATTTTTCACGCGGGCGTTAAAGCGTTAATTGGGTCATAAATTCAGACACACACATATAGACAGGCGCGTATTTTCCAGCGTATTTTTATATTTTTTATTTCTTGTTTATTGAGCGAGAATCAAAAGCGAAGAGGGAAACTTTACCAAGACAAGAAGCCTATTCTGTGTAAATTATTCAATGGGGGGATGTCTATAAGTTCAAGTTTAAGAACAGCTGCGCCCCAAAAAGAATTGGTTTTAATTTGGCACATTTTTAATTTGTCTTTAAAATGGTCGAGGCAAATCAAATGAAATCATGTTTTTTGGAAATTTATCGAAAAATTCACATATGCAAGCAAGTGATGCCAAATGGATGACTCTCTATTTTTGGAATGCAAAAACAAATGTTTGGCAATGTGAAAAAAGGTGTTTCATTTAACTGACACTGAATATGAAAAAAAATTGGTTTACCAGCTGAACGCACAACATTCAAGTGAATTTTTTAAAAATTATTTAAGGCAATTTTCTGCCAGCAGTACAAATACTATATGCGCTTGTTCCTTGGGGGGAAAATATGAAAGAAAATAAAACCGCTGGCTTTTAAGTGTGCCCCGCAAGAAAAATGAATTCATGTCAAAGACAAAACTATTGAATAAGACTTTTTGGCAGCGTTTTCGCCGTGTTTGCTTGGATGTGGCTCTAACGCAAGTTCGGAGAGATACATTTATTTGCCGTACAGATGCATTACGTAATGAGTTTTACAGAAATAAATTCCAAATGGCCCGTTTCCCCAGTGCAAAAGTGAAGAACAAAGCCAAGTGAGCTGCGTAAACAAATCACTCGAGTGACACACTTTCCTGTTGGCCTGTCACAAATATTTTGAGAATTTTTCATTTTCAATTTCCCCTTTTGCGGACTGACAGTCGCTGACATAATTTGTTATCTATGCGAACCTTTGCCGCCATTCAGTGGCTGACTTTTGGTTAATTTGACTAAGGACACGACATATAAAACTTGACAGGGGCATATCGCCAAAAAATAATATGCAAAATAAGCGCAAAAAAAACATGTTCGTCAAAACAGACATAAGCGGAAAAACCTGAATGAATTCGAATGGCAAGAGCTGGAAATCTTTTAGATAGATGAGCATACTTTCGGGATTCGAACGCTGCATACTTTGGGGAAGAACCAGAAAATAAATTAGAAAATAATTAAAGGGAAGAATCTCAATCGCATTTACACGGTTTTTTAGCAAAGGTTAGCAAGAAAGAAACAATAACAAACATGATATAGTCCTATTTTTAAATCTAAATTGACGATTTAATGATAAACTTCAGAAAATATGAATAGTTTTTCGTGAATAGCACATTGAATTTGTATTGAACATAATTAATTACTAGAAATTATTTAGTAACATTAGTTTTATTTATAACTAACAGATCATTTAGTCCCAATCAACATATATATAAATCAACAAAAAAAAAAACACTTTTAATTTAAATGACATTTTTGTCTCATTATAATACCAAAGATAAACATGATACATATTTTATTGTGACAAATTCTAGTCCAACATAATGCTACTTAGACCTGACCTTAGGCTCATTAGTCACACATAAGTCAAATAAACCCAAGTGTACGGGCAAAGCAAAGAATATATGTATACAAAGTTCGTTTGCTTGACAGTTTGTTTTTGTTTCGTTTATAGTCGCAATGACAAGAGCATTAAAAATCGAGTAAATCTATATGGCGAACATTTCCCAATGGGATTTATGTGTTGGCCCATCACCAGGCTCAGGCTGGTAAGACTCGTGTGTCAAACGATGACATCATGCAAAAATGCAAATTGGGCCGCAGATATATGTATGTATAGTGTATTTACAATAAAATGGGCAATTGTGGGAAGATTTATGGTCCCTCTTCTTCTGCGGTTGCACTTGGATGGATGACACCGGTGCGGCGGCATGAATGATCATGATCTCAATGCCCGAGTATTTCGGTGGCCGATGCAGAATTGGCACAAGCCACAGATACGAAATTTATATTTATAGCGACCAGAGTACAACGAATTGTTTTCTTCATTTATTCAGTTGGCTTTTATTCTCGGCATATTTATAAAGACAAAATCGTTAAGTAAACTAACAGCTATGGTAAACAATCCTTCAATCGTTCGGTATTTCTTGGGTTCAAAGTTTTCTGGGTCGTTAGTATAATACATAGTTTATACAGTGCGGGTTCGGGGACCCCCATAATCGGGTGTTTTTACCCTCAGTCAGAGGAGCGGATGCTGGATGCTGGGTACTGAGTTCTGAGTTCTGGACACTGGTTCTTTAACTGGGACTGATTTCATGTACAGCGTGCTCGGTTTTGGATGTGGCTTGGACTGGATTGTGCTGGGCTGTGCTTGGCTTGACTTGGCTTGGCTTATGAACATGTCTATAAGAAACAGATAGAGAGTAAATCAAATGAGTGATAGAGTGTAGGTAGGTACAAGACTAGTTATCAAACCAAGCGAGCTAGAAAAGCGGATAGAAGTTGGCATCTTTGAGTATATCGAAGGTATCCACCACGGATCGGGCCGGCACCACTGCAGCCACCGTAGTGGTGGATGATGAAGGGGGTTCTCCAATCTCCTCGATCGAAGATGCTGGGGTTATGCAAACACTCTGTCCAGTACTGATGGTGGACAGTAGATTTTGCTGCGTGGATTCTGGAGTCAAATTAGTGGACACCGAAACATGCGCAATCTCCGCCAGAGCGGCAGCCAGAGCCTCATCCAACTGAGAATCTTCCGTAGCCTGCGGTTGGGTCTCCTCTTTAGCTTCTTCTTTGTTTTCCTTTGCCGAAGTTCTCTTGCGTTTCTTGGTCTTTTTCTTGGTGGACTGCTCTTCGTCTCGTTCCTGTGGTTCAAATTCAGCTATGCCCTCCAAGGATTCACCCACAAGGGCAAGACTGTGACGAGGTGAGAAGAGTCCTGATGCTCCGTTGGCTTCATCGTTGGTCAAGCTGCTTTTGGAGCTTCGTCTGGAGCGTGTCTTTCTCTTGGGTGGTTCGGCTACCTCCTGATCTTCATTATGTCGAGTAGTTGCCATTTGCGTATCCGAATCGTTGTCGTCCCTTAGTTCCTCCTCGGTTTTGGATCCTTTGCGCAGCTTCTTCTTGCTCTTCTTCTTTTTGGGCTTCTCAGCGGGCGATTCTTCCAAGGGAGCCACCACTTCTGGCTGTTCTTCGGGTAGATCTTCGTCCTGCGGAAGTTCTTCAGGTACGTCTGGAAGAATTTCGCGTACAGGACTACGGCTGAAGAGTGTGATGCTTTCTCCACCTAGACTGATTCGGCGGTTGTCCAATAGCTCTCCATTTTCCATTTCACCGTTTTCTTCATTTGTATACACTAACTGATCTTGGTCCTGGTCCTGGTCCTGTTCTTCTTCCTGTTCTCGTTCCTGCCATCCAAATTCCTCCTCAAACTGATCTCTGGCCTCTTGATCGTCATTCTCATCTCCTATATCTTGAGCATTCCTCTCCTCTTCATCGTTGTCGTCTAGTCGAAAGTTCTTGCGCCAGTTGTACTCTCTCTTGGGTTTGTAATTCAGATCCACCTCGATATCGTCCTCTAGATCACCCACTTCCAGATTAGGACTAAAACCATAGCGGGATCGTAACCTCGTAGATTGCCGGGCCGCAACATGAGCATCCCCCAAATAACGCATTTCAGATTCCCGGCGATCGTTTTCTGGTATCAAACCCAAGGCTATGTCGACGTCCGAATGGCGGGTACTGGAGTGAGAACGCTCCAACTCCCTAGTTTTGGCCCACAGCGCATATTTATCACTCTCAGAGCCTGACTTTTCCTTGTCCGATTCGCTGTGGTCCGAGGGCAATTGCTCCTGAACCATGGTCTCATATTCCCGCAGGATGCCCGACTGTTTTCTGTTCTTAATGGCCTCGTTGTAGATCTGCTCGATGAAGGAGTCCGGGTCGGAGTAGGGTGTTGCGCCGCCCACAGCTCCATCATCGAAGCCATAGTCAAGGAAATCCTCAACATCCTCCACCTCTTCCCAATCCTGAGCTCCCCGATTCTCGTAGCGATCTGCATTCCTTTCCGCCTCCTCACATTCGGAGGTGTCATGATGGGATTCATCGGTGGGTTGGGTGCGCTCGTTGTTATCCGAGATACCCTCGTCCAGCTCAAACTCGTACTCATCTTCATCGTCAATCTCTACCACTGTCTGGCGCGTGTCCTCGCTGTCGTTGGAGCTGCTCCTCTCCTGGTCAAGGTTCTCAAGGTCCCCAACAATGTCATTGCTGTAGATGGCATTGGTGGCATCGAATTCAGCTGCCTCTGCCTCTGCGGCCAAAACAGCTCTCACCCAGGAATCTTCATCCACAACCGGACTCTTCGATTCCGAATAGTCCTCCTGCTCTTCGGTATAAAAATCCTCTTTTAACCAAGTTCGGGTCCCCGTTAGAGTTCGCACTTCGATTTGTGAGATGTAAACGTAGTCATCGCTGGGGTACTCCTCAACGGGCTGTTCCTGGGCCAGTGAGTAGCGACGGAAGTGATGGTATTCATCCGGCTCCATGTCACCCATCAAAGCTGAATCAGAGGCCCGTCGTTCACTGTCCAAGAAGTCGGCATTCAAGTGCCGTGAAAAGTTCTCAAAATTAATGCTCGAGGCGGCCAATCTGTCCAGTAACTGGTCTTGCAGCTCCCTCTTGGCCGACTCCGCTTCAATGTCCCTCAACTGAGTTAGTTCCTCATCTCTCAAGGGTGAACGACTCTGGCTACGCGATCGCTGGAACTCGGCGGTCCGGTGACGCAAGTCATCAAGTTGGGCGGGGGATATCTCATGGGATTCGCCGGCTCTTTCTTCGGAATAAGTTTTTGGTTTGGCGCCTAATCGATTGTCGGTTAGAGAGTCTAGAATGGCTGCTTGGAGTTCCCTTTGGGCTGCCGCCTGCTCTCGTGCCAGATCCATGCTCATTCCAGGAGATGGGCTCCGGGATCGTTGAAACTGAGCTGCCTCACGACGTAGCTCCTTGAACTGATCACTTCCCAGATCCATCGATTCGCCCACATAAGTGGAGCGTTTGAAGCCGCTGGCCACGAGTTCATCCTGCAGATCCCTGGCCACCTCGGAGATCGTGCGATCGAGATCCGCGTTCTCCCGTGTCATCTCGACCACTCGCTCTAGTTCTGAGTTGGTGGGGCTGAGCACGCGTAACTCCACTTCCTCGTTGGCATTGTGAAGTTTCTCCAACGCTTCCAGGTCCAACTCTCGCTGCTTGGCACTGGCGGCCAAGACACTTTCCAACTCCTCGCTATTTTTGCGTAAAGTACGCAACTCACTGCCCTCCAAATTGAGCATCAGATGGAATTCATCTGGCACCGGATCTGGGGACTGGGATCGCGAACGAGATGGTGACAGGGATCGCATATCGCGTCTTTCTTCTCTGTGTTCTTCTTTCTCCTCAACAAACTCGTACACATACTCCACTGTCAAACGGGTTTCGGGTTCCGGAGTCCTTGCTCTTTCCTGGAGCACCTCAAAGAACTGATCATTTTGGGCTATCAGCTTCTCCCGTCGCTTCTGCACACTTTGCTCCAAATTAGCCGCCGTGGGCAGTGGAGAGCGCGATCGGGACCGAGAATGGGAACGTACGCGATTCAGGCGCAATTGCTCGAAAAGTCTGGCCATACTCTCTGGAGTGTCCTCAGGTTCTGCTTCGGTTTGGATTGCAGTCTCCTCTGGTGGTTCCACAATTTCAATGGATATGGTGGGTAGCGGAAGAGGAAGCGGTGATTTTGGCGGTGAAGCGGACTCTATTATGACCTCTGGCGATGTCATTTGTTCGTGTAGTTTCTCGAAGATTTCATCATTATGCTGGATACGTTTCAGACGGCGGCTCTCCAAGCTCTTTTCTATATTGCCTGCCGTGGGCAGCGGGGAACGGGAACGGGATCTCGATCCGGAGCGGGCATTCCGCTCAGCTCTTAAGTTCTCCACAAAGAGTCGCATCTGTTCGGGCGTAGTTTCGGCATCTTCCATGGGCTCATCCACCCTTTCATTGATCTCAATGACGGGTTGCGGCAGGATGACCTCCAGTTGTGGGCTCAATCTTTCATTGGCATTAGTTTCGATTTCCATGGAACCTTCCGAACCAGAGTGGGATAGTCGTTCAGCCAGCTCGTCGTTCTGTTTGATCAGTCGCTCCCTGCGTTTGTGAATGCTCTTCTCCAGATTCTCAGAGGTGGGGAGTGGAGAACGGGAACGTGATCGGGATCGGGATTGTATCCTGCCAACAGACGGCTCTCTCCCCCTTTCCTCTAAAGGAGTACCAAGAGGAGCTCCTTCTAGGGGCTCGTATACCATTGGTAACATAGAATTACCATTCCGAGCATCATCGGCCACCGTTTGTATTTGCAGCTGTTCATTTAAGGACTCGTTTTCATTCAAGTTCGATTCCAGGAGTTGAAGCACAGACTCGCAGTTAAGTTCACCTGCCACTATACCCTCCTGCGTGTCGTCGAATACCTCGAGCGATCGTTCTGTGTCCACATCCATAAGGTTAGCCACATTCTTGGGAGCTGGTGAGGGATTTCGAGATGCGGAACGTGATCTTGAAGGGTTCACGGAAGCGGTAAAGTCGTAGAAGTCGCTGAGTCCCTCCATCAGCAATCCATACTGATCCCGCCAAGGTGCCGTATCCGGTTGCTGGACATTGATGGACGGTGTTGCTCGCGGTGGCTGCTGTGGCTCCAGATGCTGCTCCTGACTGGCGGACCAGCGTTCCGGGTAGTGCTCCATCTCATCCATGCGTGGACTGCGTCGCAAACCAGGTGAGCCACCCCTTGATTGCTCCTCTGTTGCGGAAGAGGTTTGCAACTTTTGAGGGAGGGAAAGCGGGAAAGCAGGTGATCAAGCGATAAGCAGAAGCGGTAGCCATATGAAATGCAAAGAGGTAAAGCAGTTAGGGGAAGTTAGTTAAGCAGCAGTGGGGCTTGGAGTTGTGTGAATCAGGTTTGGATCGGATTTAGTGGATGTAAGAAGGTACTAGGTGGCTGTCCTACGCACTTACATTGGCTTTTTTGCTGTCGCTGGTCTCTGCTCCTTGCGTGTTATCCTTTTCCGTTTCCTTGTCCTAACACACATAATAAACCATTGTTTAAGGTCCTTGACTGATAGTTTCATTTACTCACCACCTGCTCCTTGGAAAGTTGCTGCTTGAGGGCAGCCACTGCCTGTTCGTTTTGTGCCTCAGTAGCATCCTCAAAAGAGGAAGATTTCGGCTCATTTGTGGCTTCGTCCTCCACATCTTGTCCTTTGGAAGGTCTCTCCGGCTCGATCACCTCTTCGTCAATGGAGAGGGCTTTTTCCCGCTTCCAGAACTCGGTGTCCTTATAGTGCTCCGGTACCACCTCGCCCCAGGGATTTGTGCTCTCTTCGCCGAGCATCTCCAGGGACCCACTCGGATCTGCTGGCTGTTTCACATCCTTTGCTGGACTTCTTTTGTGGCGACGGTGGGACTTGACCTTCAGGGTGGGTTCACTCGTATACTTGATGGGGTTGTAGTCATCCCGGTCGCCATGGCGCAGCTCCTCCTCCTCCAGCGAGGTGAACATCTTGAGCTCCTCGTCGCGGGAAGCGCGTGAGTCTCGCGAGGAGTTGGAGCTGCCACTGGAGCGGCGCTTCTTGAAAGCCCTTCTTCTGCCTGAGCCATCTTCTCGTACCAATGGACGACTCTTGATTCCATCCAGGGATCGAAGGTAGTCCTCGGTGTACTGAATATCCGGTATTTGATCTTCCCCCTCGGGTTCTGGGCGTTCGCCTTCGGTGCGGTTGATTTCGTCGGAGAGTTGGGTACTGAACGAAGATTGTTGGCTGGAAAAGGGCTCCAAGGATGAACCTTCATCGGAAACACCTGGAAATGTGAGGGTCTTCGACTTAACCAAATAGCCGTCTTCGGAACCACTTCCCTGACCAAATTGCGTTTTCACTTTCTGAACCACCAAAGGTTCTTCGGCTGGCTCCTGGAATCTAGGTGGCGCTACCTTCTTCACACAGGGTTCTTCCACCACGGGTTCCATGCCGGCGTACTCATCTGCCTCTTCTTTGCTGTGGGTGGCTTGCAGCTGGCGCTGCTGCAGCATCACCATCTCCTCTTCAGCCTCAAGGAACCGTCTTGCATTCTCATCGATCATCCGCTGCCTCTGCTCCAGATCCGTTTTACTGGAAATGAGGCGACGGGACTGCTCTGCCATGGCGGCTTCTTCCTCCAGCTCGCTCTCGGTGGCGCTCATGCTGAGCTCTCTTTCAGCTGCCAGTAGACGCTCTACAATCTCCGCATCACGTTGCGCCTGTTCTTCTTCGTCGGCTTCGTCGCGCTCTCGCTGGATCTCGGCTTCAAAGAGACGACGCTCGGTTTCATCGGCCTCGGCTTCGGCTAGGAGTTTCTCTTGTTCGGCTTGCTCCCTTTGGCGCTCTGCTTCGAATATTCTTCTTTCGTTTTCTTCAATCTCGCGCTGCTCTTCAGCTGCTTGCAGTCTGCGCTCTTGCTCCTCTCTTTCACGTTCCGCCTCTATAAGTTTTCTTTCACTGTCTAGGCGTTCTCTCTCTTCGATTTCACGCTGTTTACGCTCGTTCTCTTCTGCCTCTAGCTGCCTGCGTTCGGCGTCTCTCTGTTCTTGCAGCTCCTTTGCCGCCTGCTCTCTCTCGCGCTGTCTTTCGGCCTCCAAGAGCTTTTTCTGTTGCTCCTCCGATTCCTCCCTCTCCCTCTGGATTCTCAGTCTTTCTTCAGCCAATTTGGCTTCGGCTTCGGCCAGCTGACGTCGCGTCTCCGCTTCGATCTGTTGTTGGCGTGCCAGTTCCGCGGCCAGAGCTTCTCTTTTGTCTCCAGCGGGATCCACCCGTATGCCGTTGCTGTAAAGGACACCATCCTGCATGACATTGGTGCCTGCGAGGGCTTCTCTTTCGGCCGCCTCTTTAATCTCCTTATCCAATCTCTCACGCATACGAGGTAATTCTTCGGAATCAGCAGCTGCATCGGCAGAAGAATCCCCGGGATGACGGAAACTCCAGTGGTAGAGATGGCGGGCTACAAAGGCGAATTCCAGGGCGCCCAGATAGCCAATTAGCAGCGAGAAAAGCAGCTCGCCGACGCCGGTTAGCGCCGTCTCCTCAGCGGCCATTGCGTAATGCCCAATATCGAATCCAAATCCGTATCCGAATCCTCCAACGCTCGGCGATGCAATGAGAATGCCTCGGCGAGAAACGATTCGGTTAAACGCGTATTATATAAATTGTATTCACCACGCACTCGAAAAACTCACACCACTCACGTTAATGGCCAGTCGATTAGGTAATTCGAAAAATATTTATCTCACTTCACGCTCGCCAATCATTGGACCAATCATCGATATATATTTATTTATCTACGTTTTGAGACTTTTATGAGAGCCGCGAGGTGACGAGAATCGGATAATCGGGCAACTGGCAGACGGCAGACGGCTGCAATTCGACGGGCGGACTCTTGTTTGCCGCTAATCGATCGTCTTGCAACTGATTAATGCCCCGGCGGCGGCAAGTGCCCAAGGGTCCGTCGATTTTTAGAGAAACAAGTGAATCAGCGGCGAGAGAACCGCCAAGAACCGAATCCGTTCAAATGGCAAACGGCGCTAATTGACGGCCAGCGAAGAGAGCAGCCAACTGACAAGACAACGGCGACTTTTGTCGCTGGCAATTTGGCAACACAAATGCCTCTGTTTCGGCCTCGTCCGCTGCTGCACTGCCTCTGTGTCAAATGCCAAAGCAATAGGAATTGGCCAAGGCGGATTTTCTAATCAGTTTAGTCGACACCCCAACGGCCACGCCCCCTGCTTTCGGGCGATCTATTTTGGTCCACGCTTCGATTGCTGTTTTCCACAACACACTTTTCGCCACTTTCTGCTTTGCTCGCAGTTTTCTTGCAGGAGAACAGTCGGCGACATGGCCATAAATCCCATTCGGCAAACAAATTGCTTAGAATAAGGAATTTGAGATATGTTTACTCAGTTATACAGAAATTTTATAATCGGTCGAGCCATATAAAAATTTTTGCATAAAAAATGCGGGATAAAATATATTTATGGCATACGTTATGCACATTTCGATGTGTTTTCAATTCGCTTTTATTATCAGTGGCACAATTGACATTCAATATTTAAAAACTATTTTAATTGAATCAAGAATTGTTCATATAGTGGCTTTTTAAAGCAAACTTAACAGAAAAAAAATTTCTCGTTTGTAAAGTAAGTTCTTTCTGAAATTCCACTAATATTACGCATACGCACAGTTGGTGTCAAAGACATGAAAATGTATTTATTTCAATATTTCCCCAACAAATAAAGAATTAAATGCATGAATCTTACTGTACACACTGTTTTGCAAATTTGTTTTTCTTTGGCATAGCAAGCGCCTGGGGCCAGGGTCGCCACGCCCCATTTTCCGCCTCCGAGCGGATTGCACACAAATGTTTGCCATAAATTTCGACTTGGCACTGACACTAACATTGCCAGCAGCTTTCGGCCTGCTCTTTCTTGCGAATTTCTCTGTGATTCTCTTCAATGTTTTCTTTACATTATGCACCGCCAACAATAGACACAATCAGTATAATTATTGTCAATTTGCACATAATTATGTTCTTGCCCCACATTAAAGCCTGACTATTTTTGAATTCTTTTGTTTATTTTCGTAAACTGATTGTCATTAGAAATTTTGCTAAAAATACAACAATTAAAATGCATATATGGGTCGCCTGGGTGCATATTTATTTATATATTTAGCTTTTCGCAGCGAAAGCGAAAGTTTTTCTTTGTCATGGGTTGGGCCAAATATCAAAGCAGTGAACGAATGTAAAGGTAATTGAAAAAACGGTATACATTTGGGAAATATTTGGAAGAATTCGCTTTAGTAAAGCTTTTGGGAGAATATTTTTGAATATAAACTTTTCAATTAGATTTGAGATATATATTTATCTTTTCTTCAAAATACTGTGAAGCTTTTTTTATTGGTTAATAAACACCTGGTATATGCGATAGGTAAAAACAATACTCATCTTCTGGTATTCTAAACATTAAATAAAGATATTGAATTTCGTTCATTTATTTCCTAACGATTTATATTTGTATATTTGTAGTCAGTTAAACTGCATATTGATATTCACAACTCAATAAGAGAAATAAACAAGTTTACAAAATTAAATCAAAGCATTTGGAAAAGTACTTTCTAAGTGCTTCGAGTGCTTAGAACAAAATCAGAAATAAAACGATTCGTGATTAGTTTTAATCAGTTCCCAAGCAACTATGTCCGCTAGTTATTAAACTGTTTCAATTTGTAGTCATAAACAGATAGAGGATACCTTCAGTATCAGTGATTTTTGCAATCTCTGACCTTAACCGCGAATACCACAAATATCCGGCTCACTCGCAGTGAACTTCCGCTCGGTACGGATGACAACGCGTCAACAGCCAATGCTGCCAATGAACTGCTTTCGCTTCTTTGTTGCCATCGCCATCGCTGAGTCGCTGAGTCGCTGCATTTGCGGAGCTGGAGGATTCCTCCAAAGTGAAGTTCAATGAAAATGCCATAACCTTTGGGAAAGGGCGATAGCCGCACCTATGCAATAAACGTGAACTGCGTGTGGCGGGCGATAAAAACCAGGGACCGTGACAGAGGGCACTCACTCACACGGACACTCTCGGTTGGGAAATGACACACACACAGATAGCATCTGCGGAAAGCGCCCCAAACTATGCCACACAATAATTTTCAATTAGGGATCGGTGATGGGGTTGGGGGGTCATAGCAAATACTGGGGAGAATCTAGCTGGGAACTCACCTCATCACAGCCAGCGCAGCGGGGCTTCAGCATTTCCGCATAGTGACGCTCGCAGTAGACCTTGTCGTCGTGGACGCAGTAGGTCAGGTCCACCAGCAGCGAGTTGCAGGTGCTGCAGGTGAAGCACTTGGGGTGCCACATCACGCTCTCCACAAACTTGGGCGCCGCTACCACCAGCTCGCCGGCGACTATCTCGTTATCACAGTGCGCACAATGCTCATCGTAGGGGGCATCCTTGATGTAGGCTATTCAACCGGAAGATAATGCAAAACGCAATCAGTTAAGTCATCCTACGAGCATTATCGTAAGGGAATTAAAACAAATGTTAACCACAAAAGATAGTTACTCATCAGAACCCATCAATTACTAGATTGGGTTAATTACTCATATAACACGTAACGTCGTAATGCAACAGTACGTTTGAGTAATAATTAAAGTCAATGCCCAGTATTGATAACTATAAATCAATATACATAAATAAAATGTTTTAAAGATCAATATTTTATGATCACAATCTTATTTTACTGAAAACATCTAACATATATTCATAATTTTATTATGGATAATAAAGTACGTATCCGAATCTACGAATCTTGAATATTTCAATATTTAATTTGTCAATATTGTGGAGAACAACTTACCTATATCCAGTGCGATTTCGTTTCGCGCCGTAACAAAGTCCTCGAAGGAAGCCTCGTGTTGCACCTCCAGGTGCTTGCAGTGCTCCAGCGAAAGGTCCTGTTTAGGCAGCTGGTACGAGATCTGGCGCTCCCGGCTGCAGGCTCCGTCGCTTCCCAACCGAGGTACCGCCTCCTCTGGCAGCTGCTCGAAGTAGCGGTTGATCCGCGACGATGCCCGTGCTCCGGGCGGCACCCACGTGAATCCCAGGTCCCGTGCCTCCACTCCGGAATCCGCAGGAGATACCAGCTTGAAGCCGAGTCGCTCGTGCACGTTGGTCGTCTGTTGCTGGTAGATGGCATGTGCCTCGCGAGGACATTTGCAAGATTGGCAGGTTTTCCTGGAAAATCAAAAGAAAATGTAGGGATCGTTGAAAAAGAGAACCAATACTTTAAAATTTGATTTATTATTATAAATTAAATTTAAGTAGTTGAATAAAACACAGACTCTCATCTCCCTCTCTATTTTAATTGCAAAAATTGTATATGGTAGCAAACAAATTTAATACGTATATGTTAAGTTTCTATTAGGTTCACATAAAAAATAATAATCATAAACTAAAGCCATATAACAGATAAATCATTTAAGCTACCAACAAACTTTACAAAATGTATATAAAAAGGGAAAAAAAATAGTTTTTCATTATTATTATTATTACATATAATTTCAATATTTTTTATCAAAATGTTAATTAATTGACAGACCCCCTCTTTTGTTTAATTTTACGCTTAAAATAAAACTACATTCCACTGTTCGCAGCTTCGTTGCGCGTGGCGCCATCTAGCGGCAGCTTTGCGAACCCGCCGAACGCTTACCTCACTATGAGATCGTATATTTCCTTCTTATCGAATACTTTGCAGTAGATACTGAGCACGTTGAGGCAGGCGTAGTCCATGCCGGTCCACGGGACATCCGAGGAGGCCAGTGCCGCCCACAGTGGGCACTCTGCGTGACGGTCCAGATCGAGCATTTTCACCATTTTACGCCACTTTTAGCCGCTCTTTGAACCAAGGGGTTTCGACAGCTTAGCCGCTTCTTTTCGTTCCTATTACTGTTTCTTTTTGTCTTAATGAACTTGGCTTTCATGTGTTTCTGTTGAAAAATCTTTTCTTATTGCCTGACTCGGCACAATTTGTCGGTTCTTCTTTGGTGCTTCGCTCTGCCACCTCCACGAAAATAAGAGAAACTCGCGGTTAAAGTTAAATCACCTTTCATTCGGCACGTCGCGGCGCGTTATTTGCTCATTGACATTTTGATTATAGCGTTAATTTGACCTTTGTTCCGATACGATTTGTTTACCATCATATAATTTGAGTTTACCTATGCGAACAATTCTGCAGACTAGGAATTTCTATAATTGCTTGTTTACTTATTTTTCAATTAGAGATACAAGCAAAATAATCGCAGTCATAAATACGCCTACACCATAGAAATTGTGCGTAAATACGTTACGGTTACACAGAGAGATAAATTGCAGATAGAATATGAATCAACTTATTATGGGAATTCGTCATTCTTCGAATTTTTAACAACGACTTTGTTCCCACAGAAATCTCTGGTGAGATCCAACTATGCGTTTACTTGTATATACATAATTTTACTCCGGTATAACTGCAGACAACTTAAATATACTCATTTAATAAATACAAAATCGCAAATATTTGCAATATATGTATATTTGTACCAGAATATTTAATTGTGTAGTAACTGAATTTTTTACCTAAGTTGTTAGAAAGAAAGTCAACTAAAATGAGCTCACGATTATGGCCTGTCCGACTGACTGACATTTAACAAAAATAAAAACGCCCCTAGCAATGAAATAAAATAAAAGGTAGAAAAGCATCTTTTGATAAGATTAATAAAGGTCTCTCCCCCCAGACAAACACCCACGCACACACAGCTCCAACTCCTGGGTAGGATTGGCCATCACCGTCAGTGTGTGTGATGTCATCGGCGGAGCTGAGACCGAAAAACCGAAAACCGAAAACCGAAATTGCCAAATTCCATTTGCTCAATCATCGACGGAGGACAAACTGCGTTAGCGTTCAAAATACGATAAGACGAAGTGAGTTCTTCCACCGAAATGCTACCAAATGGAAACAGGGGTTGGCGATTGTTCAAATGGCTATATGGCTATATGGACGGAGGGTATGTGGTCTCAAAATGCCAGTTGTCCTATTATGGTCTTGTCTGGAAAATGAGGAACTGATTGCTAATTGCTCACGACTTCGATGCGGAAAAGTGCAACAGGTTTTTGCTAGCCAAAGTAATATTTGCATTATTATTGAATAATTTAATGTGCGTTCAAGTGAGTCATATACCTGTGACACACAAAGTGTAGGTTCTCTGAAAAGATCTAGCTCACGATATGTTTACACATTCAGAGTCCAGTAAAATGAAAAACACTCTAAAATTAAATGGACTACTCAGAACCAAGTTTTGATAAGATTCTACTGAAAAATGTAATATTAAGGGTGGAAGAATATTTGGTTTAGGTAGTTATCTTTATTAAGATTATATGACTTTTATCAGTAAGTTATCGATTGAGGAAGCCTGTAATGGAATTATTTATAAAGATAATGCTTCTGTCATATTTTTACCTTGTGTTAAATAATGCTCTACAGCTTATTATGCTGTTAATAAAAAAAGTATTTGCACTGATGACAAAATAGCCAACAATTGATTCTAATGGATTTTAAATGAAAACAAAAATCAAATAAAGTGGATTCGAGTCGTCACAAAATATTCTCCCCCAGAAATAAATGTCATTTCCGTAATTGATGTAGAAACAAATTCAATTTGACAGATTTCCAAGTACAGATAGATCACACGGCCAGAATCTAAATTTAAATTTTCAAGTGATTTTAGAATGCCCGCAGCTGTATGGGAACTCAGTCTTTAAGTTCAGTTGCTTTTGGGACCTTGAAGAACACATTTGTTTGCCCAGAGATATGTACCTACAAAGTTGACAATGCACCAATGCGGGCCATATGTGCTAATATGGTTAATAATGATTCCTTTTCTTTCGACTTACTTTTATCTACATGTCTCTATTTCCCTGCTTGCTTTCAGTTTTCAGACGAAGGGAGATGCGCAACGTTATCGCTGAATAAACAATTAAAATGCTATTAAAACGTGTTCATTCCAGATTAGAGACGTTGCTGCGACAAGACTTTTTTGTCATATCAAAAACAGACGCGAAAAAAGCGAATGCTCTGCGCTTTACCATCTGGCAAAGATTTGTATTTAATTGAAACGGGCAACAAGCAACAAGCAACAACAACAGCAACGCGTAGAAAGGGCAACATAATATAATAATAATAACTGATATCGTATGGCGTACAATCAACAGAAATGCGTATGAAAACAAATAAAACTAGTTTCGGGGCTGAAAGTTTTGACAGATAAATGTAATTAAAAGCCAAAAGTTGGGTACAGTGTGAGCCATAATCACTGAAATGCCTGGGGTGCTAGAATTGTAAGGAATGTTTTATTTGACTTTGTTATGACCTAAGTTTAGTTTTAGGATTTGATACTTAATTTAAAGTTTATTTTAAATTATATTATGCAATAGATAAGCTATCCTCACTTGAAAATTATAAAGTTGGGGTGATACGACATACACGACATAAGCTAATTTTGAAATCATTTTTTTTGTTTAATACATTCTAGTTAGTTTTGCCAACTTTTATTGTCAATTCTTTGTTATGAATTTATATTAGTTCTTGTAAGTAAATTGGTTTATGCATATGTAAGGGCTGAGATTGGTTGATGCAACATCTGCCACAAAGATTTATGGTTATGTCAAGTACCGTATGCTGAAGCAAACTCTGACACTCTCACACGAATAGACACTCAAACTCGGCGACAACTTTTCTTGTTAGGCCCCGCAGCATTTCGCGAGGGGGGCGGGGGCGGAGGCGGGGGCGGGGTGGGTGCAGAAGTAGGTGTCGGTAACCCGGACCCACAATTACAATTGATAAGCCCCAAAGTCACTTTCGTTTATAGAGGCAAGCGCCGTGCGGCAACCGCCGTGCGGCAACCGCAATTGGAAAACTTTTGGGGCTACGCTCCCTGTGCCATCACCGCTCCCCCTCCCCCTCCCCCTTCCCCTCCCTCAATCCCATATACTATGTCCTTCAGACTATCGCCTGGTTTCAGCTAGAGAGCAATCAGTATTGTTTGACCAACAATTTGTTTGCCACTTCCCGAAAAGCGAAACCCAAACGCTAAAACCTCGGAGCCAACGAGAAAGCTTTTCCGAAGGGAAGGAAAT